AAAAAATCATAAATATCACACAGTGATTCAAGCAGCTATTGCCGAAACGTCCTCGAGAACTGTTAGATCTAGTTGAATGTGAATAGTTCAATATTTCCAGATTTTTGTGCACCGCCACTAATGTAGCATGGAACCATTTAAAATACACAGAGAAAATCAAATGAAAGTACATAACACTTGGCTCTCTATGCGTGTCATGTCTACCGGATGATTTTCACCTGCAAACCGTTTGGATGTTGAAATATGTGAAATCAATGTCTTAAACTCTAAACATGTAGAATTAATCAACAGAAAAAACAAAAAGCTTAGAGCAAATAAAAATAAATAACATTCATAATTACAAAAGACTCTATGAAAAAAACAGAATTAAAGATATCATTTCTTTTTCCCAACACCTACCTATTAAACATCTTAAAAACACTTTGTAACTTATGATAATTAGAAAAATTGTGCTGTTAGGCAAAAAATGATTGTTATATGCGTTTTATTGTCTCCAGTCGATGCAGTCAACATTACCATAAACACTATGCCTACATATAAAGAAAACGGGCATTTTTTCTGTTAAACATCTACAGACTTAAGCTACGTTACGCTAGGAGGCACTTTAATGTTTTGGTTTACACATACTGGGCCAGCCATCCATGTTGATTAATCCAAAATTATACGTAACCGATTTCAGTCACAGTGAAAAATTTGCTTTGTTTTAGTCATCAGATAAAGATTTGAGCCTGTTAATTGCACGTTGAAAGCACTTCTGGCCACATATGAAAAGTAATAAATCACAAGTTTTACCATCCAGAGCCTTTCTTTGCTAACTGAAGGTTTACGTTCCAAACAGTGCTGCATAAAGATCTAACAAAACACCTAAATAAAATTTTATTGTATTTAAGTTAATCACGTCGTCTACACTACCTACGATTGTACTTCTGTATATTATTAGAGTTTTGATTATTGTTTGGCTTCATTCAAAGAAGCAGTTATTACTATTGCGCTCTGAAGCATAAAGAATAGAGTTCAAGTTCAAAGCTTTGTTAGCACCAAGTTGCACGTCGAGACTCCCTTACATGGTGGGAAAGAAACCCATAGAGACCGGCGGAAATACCACATCACTGACCTCAACTTTGGGCATGAAACAGTCATGTACTGTTTTCATGTGGTTCTTCATCTTGTCCGGCCTGGAAAACTCCTTCGAACAGACCGGACACGGAAAAACTTTCCGCTGTTGCCCTTCGTGGTACAAAAATGCGTGCCTTTGGAAACTGTACTTGTTCTTGAACGTTTTGGTCACATCGAGCTTGGCACATTCCGTACACTGATAGATTCCTTCGGTTATCGACGCATACCGAAACAGATTCAACCCTCTAACCGACATTTCGGTGAGCTGCTCAGCCGGATCTTGGCATTGTGAGGTCGCTCTACGTCTGATCCGTCTCTGTTTCGTCGGTCTGTTCGTTGGCGCGTTCATAGCTATTGTACTGGTCGAACAAGTACTGGTATTGTTGTTGTTGTTCAACACGCTATCCGGAGTGCTTATTCGGCTCGATTCCGGAGTCGCTTCGTTGCTTGTAAAGTCGGATTTTCCATCGAATGTTTCGGTCACCTCCACTTTGGGTGTGAGCAGCTGTTGGTGCGTCATATTTTGAATATCTGCAACAATAAGAAAGAAGGAGGTCAGCAGAGCTGGGAATACCAGGAGACTTTAAATGGAAAGTAACGCAACGAGCTAAAAACGTATCTACAAAGTGCTCTAATTCATCCGATGCATTCTACTTATTGAAAAACGCTCATCAAAGTATCCAAATCAAAGCAAAAAGCAAACAGCAACTTTAACAGTTTTTAACGTATTAATTTGCAGTCCAAGTCCTAAGAGACTTTCTAGGCGACCAGGAAAATAAGATCCACACTCCAGACGCCTTGAATAATTTGTAATCCAAATGCTCTCGTAAAACGTTAGCAAAAGCTCTGGTCGGCAAAGGAAAATTTTATAATACAAAACTGGTAGATTTATGAATATTACAACTTGTTTTACAATTTCAAAGCATTTGCATGGATATCAACAAATGAAAAAATGAGCCTTCTTCTCATTTATAATGAAAATGTTAACAACAAATGAAAGATTGAAAGCGGTTTTTATTCGAAAAAACCTACAAGTTCTGTAAATGAATGAACCCACAAAGTCGTGAATTTGGCAAATTAAACGAAAAGTGTAGCATTTGGATGTTAATAATGACGATTTAATTATCTCTAAACACAAAAAAGCTCTCTAAGCACAACAGTCGAGACAGTTTCTGAGCTGAAATTATGTGGCTCTCAAAAATACAAGACAAATAACCCGAAATTGGTGGCAAAATAAGAGACGCAATTGAAAAATGTGCTGCTTAAATTATTCAAAACACCGCAAAAAATGTATGAACGGAACTGGTTTGACGACAAATATGAGAAAAAGTTGAGCAATCAGCCAACGAATTCCGGGCGAGCAAAATTCCGATTGCAGGACACATGCAGCAAAATAATGAACTAAAAATCAACAACAGCATATGAAGGGGAAATTGTTTTCAAACCTTAAAAGCAACCTAAGAGCGACTAAAAATCGCACAATAAAAAACTCAAGAGAAATATACAGATCAATCAAGAATGCGGAATAACAAAGAATTGTGTCTGAAAAATTACCCCAAAATAACAAAACAAATACCCTTGTTTTCAGACAGAAACAAACAGTCGAGGTTCAGCTTTAAAAACCTACAAAAACTGTTCTTCAAAAAAATCCCCATTTATACTGCTAGAGCCATATCTTGAGTTAATGCAAAGAAATGCGATAATAGTTATTCGCCCACTTTATGTACATATAGAGAAAAAACAGAAAATAATCGAGATAGCAAAGCTGCTTGAAAACATCGACTGCGCAAGTAAAGCGGTCTTAATTCATTCAATAGATAGATGTATAGATTTTAGCATTAAAAATTATCTACTTTTATCATCCCTTAAAAATATGAAAAGCCAACAAATTTTAAAAATATAACTAAAGCCTACTAACTACTCAAAATACAAAAATACGAAAAAAATAAATAAACCAAATAAAATAAACTAGCTTTATTTGCTCAAAAATTGCACATCGTGTAAAATAAGTGCCTTTAAAGGTAACCAGTCAGTCCAGTTCAATGCAGACAAAAATAAATTAACAAACAAATTAAAAATATATTGCAACTCGTTCAGTAGTACTACTATATAGGAAAAGTTACCTTAAATATCTTCAGTCCTTTCGGTAAGCATAATGAAGGCAAGAAAATGGATTAGGAAAATCTAGATACGCATACATATATAATCAAATAAAATAAAATAAGAGAACTAAAACAATGGCATATATAATAATATAGAAACTTAAAGCTAAAAGTGGAAATTTAACATTGCCAGTTCATTATACATAAAACAGTTCTTTGGGTGAAAACTAGCAGGTTTCCTATACCTACGCATTAAAACATAATTAACTCCACTTAGATTGCATTTAAAACAAATTAAACAAACCATTAATGATTTGATTTACATTCTTTAAGTTCCGGTACGGGTTATTCGGCCAAATTGATAAGGCAAAAATCGACATCAAGGCCGAAAGCACAACAACAGTAAAAGGGGGTACGGATCCAAGCGAGAAAATGATGTTTGTTTAATTTGTTTGCACTAGATTAGTACAGTCTCAAATTTCACACTTATTGCGTCGATAACATGAACGAAATTCTCAACAATTCTCTGGCTTATCAGCCACAAATATGCAACTAAAAAATTTATAGAACCAGAAACGTTCACGTTTGGGGTTCGAATATAACGATTAACTTTTTTAAATCCTCATTGCTCGGTCTTGATAACGATTAGACTCTCTAAAAGCACACAAGGTTCAATTTTCCAACTAACAGTCGATTATCTAAAGCCGCAGGATCAGATTTTTTAAGTTTGATTCGCAGTGAACTTTAATAATCATTGGTTAATTCACATCCAAAGTGAGGTTGAAGATGGCTCAACCACAATCGAAGAAAATATGCCAACCGAAACGTTGTTTATAAAGCATTTCCAAATCAGTACACGACCATTGATGAGTCGGTTCTCCATTAAGTCGATCATTAGAGTCCATTTGAGCAGTCTTAACATCAACAAGAATATATACAGACAAAACCTAAATATACTACTTAATACAGTAAACCCTTGTAAATTCCCCATAATCAGCTATTAACTTTAAGACCCACTACTTATTATGTACTTATATGTACTTAGGCTGATTCAAAACACCAAGCATTAATTTATCGTTATTTGTTAATGTTTAACTAGTTTCCAGTTTGAAAAGTTTCCAACTTTGCTGTTTCAGTTTCCTTCAAGAATCTACAGTTTCAAAAAAATACGTTTTGTAAAAATCTCCGTTCAAGGGCTCACCAAACATGCGAGCTGACAACGTCCGAGTCTGATGTAAAAACACAAAAAAAGCCCACCGAATAAACGTTTTGTCGGTTTCACCGCTTAAACCAGCAGAGGAAGTTAGTGAAAGCCGTATGAACAGTTTCAGAAGAATCACCTTATCAAGCCCCAAGAGAGAAAGGGAGTTCTTGTAAGGCAAGCTTGTTGGTTAAAGCCCGTGTCCCATGCATCCGTTTGTACGATGATACGATGGTACGAAAGTGTTTCTATTGGTTGGAGATCGATACGACGACGGACGAATTGACAGATCTCCAACCAATAGAAACTCTTTCGTACCATCGTATCATCGCACAAACGGATGCATGGAACACGAGCTTTAGACCGCTGAAGATAGAAGATTCGCCTTAAACCCCAGCTGCTTGTAAAAAAAACTCCTGAGCCCAGGACTCTTCCCTACCCTACTTTTCCCCACATTTGAAGCCTTTCCTGTGGGACTTCAAGACAAACTGAGCAGATTTGCAATGGCTTTTGTGGGTCACTTTTGTTAAGGCACGTTTTACCCACACTGATGACAAGTGATGTGTTTTGAACCAGCCTACGCTATTGACTATTGATCTGAGCATGTGAGGACAATGTAAAGATCGTCCCCCAATAAACAAGTCTACAAAAATATTTGGATTCTCTAGGGCAACCCTAACTACTAAGTCTCATCTTCGAAGGCACTTAGGTAGCAATCTGCTTATGTATTATCTTCAAATGGGCCAGCATGTTGTCCTTTCTGGTGAAATCCTTGCAACACACTGGACAAGTGTACATTTTCACGTCCATTTTGTGCGAGGTCATGTAATGGCGGCAAAAGTTGCTGATGTGGGTGTAGACGCGATCGCAGACCGTGCACCTGTACAGGTTGTCTTTCTCCCTGATGCAAAAGTCCCGCGCTGATTTGTCGGGATCTGAGATCTTTTTTGAGTAGTTTATGTATCGGCAAACGGGCCCGTCGTATTGAGGATCGTCCACGATTACCTCATAGTTCATAAACTCGTCAATGTCCACCATCGGTCTTTTGAGCCTTTTTGCAGTAGAACTCCCGTCAGGATCCAGCGGTAAACCATTGCCGTTTGCAGGCTGTTTTGAGGCATCTGGAGGCTCAGAGCGCAGCTCTGAGCCCGGTTCAGCTTCATCTACTTCCAGATCAGAGCTGGAGTCGACTATTTCGGTAGGAGGAGGAGCCGGTTTCGGCTCCACCCGCAGTTCAAGCGGCTGATGTTGAGGCGAAGTGAGCACGGCCGGGTACTCCGGCCGGGAAGTGTAAGGCAAGCCGTACTCTTGATGAAGTGAGGAGTTGAAATTGATGCAATGCACGTTGTTGTTGTGCAACACTGGCTGCGGATTTTCAGGTGTGGCTGAAATCAAATGAAGAGCCTCGTCAGTGTGCAGAACAGATGAAAATAACGGCAAATGCAAAACCATCACCACCACGAGTAACACGTTAGACTAGTTAAGGGAAAAGCTATAGGGAATGGGCCGCATTTACGGGTAAATGATTTGGGTGTTGGTCGACACTACGATCCCAATGCCTCATTCCTTACACTCTTCCCTTACTTATGTTAAATTGAAACAACTCACCTCTCAAATATCGATGCGCAGTGATTTCTCACTTGACAGCACTATAGCTTTTCCCTTCACTAAACTTTGAAACACTAGATTTAATGTTACGGCTATTTCGTGTTTCTCCATTGGGTTACGGAAAATCGAACGCGAGTGTGACCAGCGCGCGCTATTTTGACTTGGCACTCCGAAAACTTTGCATTAAGTTGGCTTAAGTTAAGATTTGTTTGCTTGCAGTTGCAACAATTGCAAGATGAAACTAACTCCAAAGAACCGGTAGTCAACCGAGCAGCGATTCCGTTGAAAAAAGGGTTTCATTCGAAAAAGTTTGCATAGAATTCAACTTACCAACGGGCATATCGTCGGAGTTCCGCCGCTCGCTAAAACCCTCCTGAGAGGTTCCAGCTACGGGTTCGTCTTCCTCCTCTTTAACTTTGAGGCCATCCTCATCCTCTTTGTTGGTACTGCCGTCGGAGTTGTTTCCTGTAAAACCGTCCATACCCATTTTAACTTCCAGCATTTCCGGACTACCGTGAACTATAGAGTCCTTGGCCTCCGATTCGTCCCCGTTAGAATTGCCCGACAACCTTCTAGGCCTACCTCGTTTCCTCTTGGGTTGCATCAGGTAGTTGCCCAGCATGTTCATGGAGCCGGTGGCAGCAGCAGCAAACCGTTTGTTTTGCTGCTGTTGGATACGTTGCAGGTTGGGGATTTTCGCGTTTTGCTGGCTTAAGGAATTGGCGATGTTATCGCACTTTTCCTCATTCACCTGCAAATGCCCGTGTGTAACACTCAGTCCGTCCAGGATCCCACAAAAACCCACCTCAGTCAAGCCCTTGATCCTCAAGCTCTCGGCCACTCGAAGGAAATGCGTCAATCTGTCCTGATCAACACTGACCTCCCCACGATACATAAAGTCGAGCAGACACTTCATATCGCTGTAGGGCACGTCTTTCAGGATAACAATCGGATGCTTGTCCGGATGGTTCATGAACAGGCCTTGGAAATAAGGGCTGCAAGCCGACAGCACCATTTTATGCGCCCTCAGCAGCTGCCCTTCAACGGCCAACGTGACGTCGACGAAACTTTCGTCATGCAGCAGCTGATCAAAGACTGAGAGGAGATTGGACTGATGATTGTTCCAGCGCAGGCAGAAACGTTGTGTGGCCATGCTGGCGGGTGCGGTAGCCGCTGGAAGCGGCTGGTTGCAATCTGGTTGGAAACTGTAAGGTGGTGCGGACATAGGCAGGTCAGGCGGAATTTTGGCTGCTTGGTTGGACACTGCAAAAAAATGCTTTTCGTTAGGAGTTTCTCTTTATATGCGCTATGAACTGACACAGAAAAAAATTGTGAAAGAGGATGAAAGGAGTGTGTTTAGGGTTTGCTCTAGATTTTCGCACACTTCAAGCTGCCCTCGTAAATGTATATTCGCCTGTAGATAATGATGGATTAAAATACTTGGCAGCCTTAATTGGTTCAAGTGGCGAGCCTGGAAGGATGGGGGTATTTCTGATAAAGATTTGCTGAGTTCGTGCAGTCTTGAAGTGATTGCTTGATTGAGCGCCCAACGCGTTTCCATGCTGGATGATAAAACCGCCCTGAAATTTTACGACTTGAAATGATTAATTGCGCTTATCAGGTCGGGTTTTTTAACAATGGTGCCATTACGTTTTGTGGTTCTGTCGATTTCGAGCTGTTTACGCGACATTTCGATAAGCAGCGTGTTCAGCCAACGGCCATAATCTGGGGTTTAAAGATTGCGAACTTTGAGAAACTCGAGCGGGTTTGGGCTCGAGGATGGCGATCACGCAGCATTTCGACAACGAAAACATCCAGTCAAAATATGCGATATTATAGCCTTTTAACAAGTAGTAACTGGGCGGGTTTCTATTGTGTTTAATTTGGCTGGTCTGCTAACCTTGGGACGACGTTTGCATATGTAGCCGCAAATGAAAAGTCATCTCGTTAAGTTAAACATGCTCGATGCTGTGATGGTTTCAAGCGCGATTAACGATCCTAGCTAGGCTAGGCTAGCGAAATATGATGTATTTTTAATAAGTTCGCAGTTTCTCAGTCTTTTTCAGATCTTAGTACTTGCAAAACTGATTTTGAGCAATCACGCAAGTGTTTGGTAAACCATTGATTAATTAAATTAAGTCACCATACCCAAAAAACATGTTTACTGCCATTAAGCAAGGTCTTCCCACCGGTCAACTCAAACCAAAATTGTCGAATCACGGTCTTAACAGTGCAGGAAATTGTAAAATTGGCGATAATACACACAATACATGTGAAGCTGAAAAACTGCACCAGAAAGGGTATAGTCGAAAATAAACCTGCTAGCACGTTTAGCAGCATGAAATAGCGTCAAAATCCCCAAACTTCAACTCAATAACATCCGAAATATTTATAAACCCTTGTTGTGCGATAAATATTCAAAAATGCTTAGTTCGACCTGCTGGCATCTGAAGGCTGCGAATTTTGCACAATAGGGCTGTTTATAAGTGAAACTGTCCATGTTTTGTCCTGCAGTTTTAGCCTTTTTTACAGTTATGGAGTGAGTTTGGGTTTAGTTAGGAAAAACCTTACAATACAGTAAAATATCCACTTATGGCACGTCTAATGAATCCCATTATAATGCAAAAAAGTAAAAAGTTTTGACTCTTTTGCTCACAAGATACATTTTTCTCCGATTTTCAATATTGAAAAATCGAAAGAAACAAATGTTTCATTGTTTCATGAAGATATAGAGGATTTTATCCGTGCCCGTTTGGAACATAGAACATCCAACACTCTTTTGCTCGAAAAAAAATAAATTTTCTATTGATTTCAAATTTTTAAATCACGATGAGAAAACAAACTGTTTGTCTATCTAGTGCATTTTTAATATTCAAAAAGATCTGCAAAATAGTGGATTTATAGGAGAACATGCAGGACACTTTGGACAGACTAAAATTTGGACCTCACAACAGGCTTTTGCTCAGGACAAGATTAATTTTTCTCAGATTTTCAATTTTGAAAAAGCAAAAGAAACAAAAGGTTTCGTTGTTTCAAATTCGTTTTTGAAAATTCGGGCAATGTTCCAAGATAATGAAGATAGAGACGTTTTTATCCGTACCCGTTTGGAAAATATAACGTTTAACACTCTTTTGCTCGAAAAAAAAATCAATTTTCTATTGATTTCAAATTTTTCAATCACGATGAGAAAACAAACTGTTTGTTTATCTAGTGCATTTTTGATGTACCAAAAATTCTGCAAATTAGTGCATTTATAGGAGAACATACGCGGGACACTTTAAAATTTGGACCTCACATCACTCTTTTGCTCAGGACAAGATTAGTTTTTCTCAGATCTTCAATTTTAAAAAAGCTAAAGAAACAAAGGGTTTCATTGTTTCAAACGCGTCTGAAAATTCGGGAAACTTTCCAAGATACTGAAGACACAGACGATTTTATCGGTGCCAGTTTGGAACAGAACGCCCAACACTCTTTCGCAAAAAAAAAAATAATTTTTTATTGATTTCTAATTTTTAAATCACGGTAGGGAAAGAAAGTATTGGTCTATCTAGCGCATCTTGAATATGCTGAAAATTCTTCAGGAAACAGAATTTCTAGGTGAATTTGTCCGGGGCCAATCAAAACCTTCTATGCCTCTAAACCCGATGGATTTCTTGGCCTATTAAGTGCTGCCGCAAAATATCCTTTACACGATTCTTAAGTTGCTGATGAAAAAACTATAACAAATTACATTTTTGACACTGTTTCTCCAAAACGATTGGAACAGAAATTGGTTCATTCTTATCATGAGGAATCTAGTTTTCTCTTGCGACTCTGTATCCTGTTCAAGTTTATTTATTTTCCACGACGGCCAAAAAACCCGAAAAGCTCAATATTGCCTGCATGCATTAAAAAACTCTATAATGTACACGGCGTCCCGATAAAAAATAACTTTTTTCGATCAATGTCTCAATCGTACTAAAATCCTCTCAATTTAGCTGCCAACGCATGGTTCGCTTGCATAAAAACTCTAATTTAATGATGATTCAATTTTAAACACTGACACAAGACCGTTTAACACTACCCTAACTACATGCGGAATTATCATAAATTAACATGAATTGACCTTCTGCAAATATCTCATCAACTTGCAGATTTGCAATGTCTCCGATAAATTAAATATTTTCAGAAATGTGGTCTGTGTGTGATGAAATTCTCCCATTCTTACGGCTCAAATGGTGAATTACTGCAAAGAATATTTCTACAAAAGTTTTAATTTGTACTTTGATTGTTTCTATCGTTCTAAGAAGCAATGTAAAATGCATCAGCATTCAAGTAGTAGTTAGGAAATACATGTTTATCTTCCTGGGGCCAATTAGTTAGTTCTGGCGGCGCACGAAAGCCAGAAAATATATACCGATTTCATACAAGAAATCTAGTTCAACGGGCCGCCAAAGTTCCATCTTGCATGTGCTCTTGCGAGATTCGCGCTAGCAAATTAACCAGTATTAGCCTTAAATGCTGTATTTCCTGTACAAAGGTCCGTTTTCTTGTTTAATTTGCGTTTTCATCGCTGGCTTTGCCACTTTTCCCGCTTTAGTTCGCAGAATTCATTACCAATCTTCAGCAGCAAAAAATTAAGGCAGTCAGATTTTTTGATGCCCCTTATGCATAACTGGGAACAACTTGGGGCGCCTTGGAAACTTCTTCACTTCTCCTTGCTATCAACAGGCGTTTGTTCCCAAAAATAATGCAAATTTTTGTAGCYCTCTTTGCTCGATAAATRCCGATCATTAGCATGATTGTAAAAAAACGCATTGACACTTCCACATGTGTGATGAAAGGAACCATCTGGCCTGGTCTGGCCTGGCTTGCTAAAGACTACGTTAGTTTTTTTAATGCAAAAATTGAACAGAAGTAGAACGCAATGTCTGCATTGACTTCCTTCCTGCTGATCASCTGCTCCATAACAAATCCATGCAAAGAACGTTCAAATCCTCGAATGAAGCGGTAAATGCAGTGAAAAGTGCGGACAACGAACGCAAGRAAAATGTGAGTAATTAGTTGGAACAAGCCCAATAAAAACGCAACCTAGAAAGAGAAATGCACATGACTAGAAGTAATTAACGATGTGCATAGGAAGAAATCCACACTAGGCGCTCAATCCGAAAGCGATTAAAGGATGTGGGTAATTTCAACGTTTACAATTAAATGGGTCATGAAGGCAGTTATTAACTGAACGTCTTATTTATGCGGAGCTTAATGATTCCGGTCAACTTTACGAGGGATATCCGTAAGCACGAATGCGAAACCACCCAGGAGTGAGCGTTAAATAATCAAAACCCTGAGGAAATTTTCTCGCCATTTAATGTGCTGCTGCAAATAAATAAATAAATAATCGTTTTCCACCGAAATTCAATATGCTTGGCATCCATCAAGCATGGCGCAAATTTTCGTTGCATTGGTGTCATTAATGATGATTCCCCAACTGGTTTTTTAGCGCGCCTTCAGCTTTGCAATCGGGTTTGCATAAGAGAAAAAATCTGTTTTGCTTCGTTTGGATAAAAATTAAGAATGGCTTGAAGTGCGGTTCTTACCGAGGAAACCAGCTGAGAAGTCGAGGATGCAACTGGTTGAAAAAATGTATTAATTAAAATTAACAAACTATTATAGGAATAAAGGGCTGGACCGAGCCAGTAGACCCTAAACCAGTTTTGCACCCATTGGTCCTCAGCAGGCTTTAATTTTTATTGCTCGAAAACGGGGAAAAAATATAAAAAAATTCTTGATACCTTTTCTGTTCCCAATTGATCATAAACGTAGAAAAGAGTTTGTTTGCCCAAAACCAGTAGCGCATATGTTTTTAACTTAAAAGTATCCGATGTATATTAATGTGTTTTGAGCAGCCGGCAACTCGGATACTGCAACGGTTCGACTTCAATTTTTTTACGCAAAAACGGGGGCTCGCACAAAAAAATTTCAAGAGACCTTTTCTCCTCCTAACTGATGATAAAATTGGAAAAAAATACTTTGCGAAAAATCAGCAGCGTATATTTGTTTAACTTAAAAGTATCCGATGATTAGTGTTTTGAGCAGTCGGCCACTGGAATATTGGCAACGGTTCGACTTTTATTTTTTTACACAAAAACTGGGGTTGCACAAAAAAATTTGAAGAGACCTTTTCTCTTCCCAATTGATCATAAAAGTGGAAAAAAGAGTTTGTTTTGCCAAAAACCGGTAGCGTATGTTTTTAACTTAAAAGGATCCGATGTATATTAATGTGT